TCTCTCCTTCGGAGTATTGCCTAATCGGCATGTTGACTCTCACAACTTCTGATCTCCTTGGCATAATGTTTTATCCTTTGGCCCAATGCTCGAACTCATGACACGAAGTCCTTTTATCGTCACATTGATCGATCATATGGCTCGATGTCTAATCTCCTGACATATTCCACTCCGGCCCAACGTCCAATTCTTTCTTCTTTAATCGACTTGCCTTTTTTAAACAAAGTTAGTCCTACATCACTCAAAACGCAGATTAGATCATAACTTCATTAATTAATTTTATCATTAAAATCTGAGATTCAATAGATTGTTCAATAGCCAATGCTATATCACGGCCTTAGCTGGAATTGCCAAAGTCGTGAGGCACCCATGTGGCCAAAATGCGAACTTAGCTTGAGTTGCCTAAGTCGCGACGCACTCTTGTGCTAACTTCTCGGACTTAGCTGGGATTGCCTAAGTCTTGAGGTGTCCTTGTGACATATGTGTTCGCAAAGGTTCAGCCTAGTTGCAACCACGTACAGGTCCCGAAGGACCTGTAAAACGTAAAGTTGATTAGATTGAAAACGAGCGACAGACAAGTCTCGACGTCTCGCAAAGAGGGAAGCTTTACGAGCAATTCAGCAAGCACCTTGTGTGCATAGGAAAAAAGAGAGAGAGGAGGAAAACAAGGACTTTAGAAGATAGAACGAATAGTTACAAGTCCATAAACAACTGCTCACCGGGTGCCAGGCGCGACAACAAGTTCTCGTCAAGGTAACGTGCGAACTTGCGAAAGGTTGTTCAACGCCCGATAATATACCGAAGCCCCATCCATCCCTGTGCCACCCGGGGGGTTCTAAAGTGCTGAGATGGTTGATGTTTTATGTGGTGCAGCGGGCTGCAAAAAATAGCCCACGGCATGCGAAAACAAAGCCATTTTAGGGCTTTTCGCCCGGCGCTGTGAGTAGTCGCACTGTTCGCTACAACCTGTTCAAACATATATTTTTACAAGCAAAAACACATAAAACTAAGGCAAAACAAGCTGTCATGTCTTTGTTCAAGCATGCAAAAGTGACGAACGAATCGTTGAACGAAGTTGTTGCGAGTGTGCGATGACTGTTCGTGATAACTACCCTGAAGCCTCATCCGCCCTGGTGACACCTGGGGGGTTCCAGGGTGCTGAGATAGTTGACATTTTACGTGAGGTTGCAATCTATATAAAATAGGTCGTGGCATGTGAAAACAGAGCCATTTTGGGGTAGTATGGGCTAATGTGGCGAGCGATCGTACTACAATACTGCGAACTATCGTTGCTTATATTTTTGAAGTATAAACATATAAAATCAAGGCAAAACATGTCATGTATCTGTATAAGTATGCAAAAGTGACGAATGGTCCATTGAATGAAATTATTGTGGGTATAAGATAATCGTTCATGATATTTTCTTCCACTTCAACTTTTGACACCCTCATCGATGCTTATTGGTAGTTTTTGATGACTGCTTCTTCATATCGTAGGGTATTTTCGAGCTCCCAACTAGCTTCGATTTGTGGAAACTTTCACCACATCACCAAGTACTTGGTCTTCTCAGCTCCATTAGGTAGTTTTATCTTGCGATCCACTAAAATAGTTTCAACTCGGTTCTTATAGGAGGCTCTGGTTGGGGGTAGCCAAGTTGGAACACTTCGGGAAGTATTTTGTGGATCTGAGTAGTAAGTTTTCAGGTTGCTGGCATGAAAAACATTGTGAATTTTGAGCCACGCTGATAGCTGCAACTTGTATGGGACATTGTCCACCCTACTGATAATTAGGAAGTGCTCTTCATACTTGTATATCAATCCTTTATGTACTTTGTACCTGAAGAATTTGAGTGATGCTGGTTGGAGTTTCACCAACACTAAATCGCTGACTTTGAACTTCTACGGTCGCCTTCCCATGTCTGCCCATTTCTTCATATTTTTGGCCGCATTCTCCAAATAAGTCTGTCCAATATCTACGTTTCGATGTCATTCTTTTGCAAAGTGATATGCTAACATACTACTCCCAATGTACCCGATAACCAAAGTGTCAGGAGTTGACAGTTGTTGTCCTATAATAATCTTGAAGGGGCTCTTGTTGGATACAGAGCTCCGCTACAAGTTGTAAGAGAATTGAACTATCTCCAACAACTTCACCCAATAAATATAAAGGGAGCGGAAAGAAATAATATTTTATTTAGCTAAATAGAAGAGGGAAAAAAAAAGTCACCTGATTCCTTTCTAACGCTCTCTATCTATAATTATCTAATAATATTTTAGATTGAGATATGATTTGGATATTTTCAAAGATCCGCCCACCATTATTATTATTTAAATAAAAAAAACATTTATACTATATATATATATATATATATATATATATATATATATATATATATATA